CAACTTCTTGCCGGCATTGAATAATTCAAGAAGGATACAAAAATCCAAATCTCTATCGATAGACTTACCTATTTCACGTATATGCAGAAAGAAAATATCAATCAATTTGAAATGAAGGGCATTATCAAAGAACATCACAGAAAACAAACCAAACGGTTAAAAAGAAATAATGTCGAAATTCAAGTCTATTTGTATTATACTATACATTAGATATGCATTATAAATTTTTACTATAATTGAAAAATAAAGTCCTAGTAAAAAGAAAAAAAAACGTAAAAATTTTGATATTTTCTGGACCATCATCCGGACCCAACCCGGTACACATTTTCTGAGTGCTAATGAAAATTTATTAATAAAAGATTATTTGTATTGTATCAAAATTTGGAGGTAAGTAAAGATGATGTGTTAAACAATTTTACTTAGTAAGTAAAGTTAGGCTTACTTAGCAAAAAATTCTGTTTCGTGTAATATGTTCAATTCGTCATTTTACTCACATTCGTCATTATACCTACATTTACCTTATACCGTATACATGATTATAATGACTTAAGATTATAAAAAGTAATCATATAATTATATTCATACAAATATATATTTATCGTCTTTAGAAAGAAAAAAAAAACTTTTCTGCCATTTACATTTTTGAAGTTTCTTTGAGAAAAAAACCTTTTCTCCCATTTACATTTTTGACGGTTTATTTTTTTTTTAACAAAAATTATCTCGATACTCACCCAATGTCTGAAGAAATTGAAAACAATACCATCAATTTTCTTTGGAATAATAATAGAAGTATTTCTTCTATTGATTTCGACCACGAATTATACGTTGCAACCATCACTTTGGTTGACAACACCGTCAGGGTTGTAAATTTGGATAAGGTTAAATACGATTTAGACATATTAATACAATTATATATTAATATATATTAATTATAATAATTATTATCTTTAATTAACAGCATAGTGGAATGGGTAGCAATGTTAATAAAATTTCAGAAGTCTCCGATCATAACGATAATAATAATAATAATAACAAGCATCTCGCTGATGATTCTTTATCTCCAGTAGCCGCCGCTACTACCAATAATAATGATGATAACCCTCTCGCTGATAATCCTCTACCTCTCGCTTCTTCAGTAGCCACCGCTACTACTGATAATAACGATGATAACCCTCTCGCTTCTTCAGTAGCCGCCGCTACTACCGATAATAACGATGATAACCCTCTCGCTGATAATCCTCTACCTCTCGCTTCTTTAATAGCCGCCACTACTACTGATCATAACAATGATAATAACAATAATGACGAGCCTCTTGCAGATAATTCTCTACCTCTCGTTTCTCCAGTAGCCGCCACTACTACCGATCATAACGATGATAATAACGAGTCTAATAACAACCATAACAATCTTCTTATTAAGGTAAAGTCTATCATATATTAGCAATGAAATTTTTTATATTAAATATATTAAAATCTAAATAAAGTTAATTTTTATGAT